GGTAGTCTGAAAATCAATTAATGCTTTGAAATCTGCTCTTTGATATTAATCAACCATATATGATGAAATAAAATTTATAAAACTCCCAAAATTTTGAAATATGTGGCCCCAGGGTCAATGGTTCCTGTGGGGTGCCTGGGGGGTGCACAACTGGATATAAAGTGGAAGTGCTTTCTCTCTTTGTTACTCTCATATACCTCTGGGTATTAAGTAAATAGAGAAAGCATGCTAAGTGTATAATTATGAAAGCAATGGTGCCTTTTTCACAATTGTGAATTTTATGGCCTCTGGTTTAAAACACACACCAAATTCAATTGTTGGAAAGTTGTTACATGATACTCAGGTGACTTATAAGGCCTATGGGCCTCTTGTTTAAATAGCTGTTAAAAGGAAGTTAAGTTTTCATATTGACCTGTTTCATATAGGTTTTATTTAATCAATACACAGCCCTATAAAATCACTACATGTATTTGATGTTCTTCACTTTACTGCTTCTCCACTGAGAAACAAACAGATTGTCATTTGTATCTGTACACAGTCCATAGGGATTTCTCAGTCCACAGTCTATGTAACGGAGGAACTGTCCATCCTGGTCTATGATGTGAACACAGTCATTGTTATCATCAGCTGTAAGGATGTGACTCTGACTGTCTGTGGTGATTCCTAGTGGTTTGAATGGTTGGTTATTTGGAGAAGGAGTATGTCCAGTGTACATGAATCTCAGTTTCCCAGCCTGATTGACCACCACTACTGCTCTAGCTTTACGGTCAGACACACAGATATCCAGGTTCCTGTTCTCTGTTATGTAGTATGTAATATAACTACCAGATGAATAGAGAGGTTTACCTTTATCATCAAACTGAATGGTTTGTTTCTCTGTGGAGCCAGAATAACGGACAACTTTTGCTGGTTTGCCAAAAATGTCCATGATAACCAGGAGGTCACCAGAGGAGGTACTACAGACACTGCGAGGTTCCCAGTTTTGTAGTCTGATCACCTCCTCTATCTTCTCATTCTTTACAATGTTCACAGTTCTATCACTGCCATCAGTATAAACTAGATCTCCACTTTTTGTCACTGCAATGTTAGATGGGCAGTCCCCAGACTTGGTTATGATTGACTTGAGTAGTGATCCCTGATTGATGCTATAGAATTCCATGGTGTTGTCATCTCCTCTTGTCTTGATCACTAAGACAAGCCGCATTGTTAAGGCTTCTATACCCAGTGTCTATGGTGGTGACAGTCTCTGGTTCATCAAGCAGCTGTTTGACAGGAGGAGAGGATCCAGCTTCTGGTGATTTCTGGGTAGACTTCATGCTGTAGCCATGTTCATCTGAAGTCCAAGAACTTGATGATAAAGTTCCAAACAGTTTACTGAGTTTTTCTCCTTGAATTTTCTCGGGAATGAATTTCGATAAGGACAGGGATAGTTTTTGTGGAAGATTTCTGTATCTATGTACTTTTGATGTAACACTAAACACTTTAGATAAGTCATTGGTGTCTATAGCCATTTCAACTGAATTGATTTCTTCTTTGATGTCAGACATTGTCTTGTTTATTTCATCCAGCTGTTTCTGTAGAGTTTGTAACTGTGTGTTTTTCATTTCATCAACTTCAGCTTTAAGTTTCTTGACGAGTTTGTCAATTTCTCTGTGCCAGTCCTCTCCATGTTTTGTTATGGCTGTTGAGAGATCTCCATATTCCTTTTTTAACTGACTCATTCTGTTTTGTACATCAGAGGCAATGTCCTGGTAGGTGGGATAAATTTTCTCCTTTAATGCAGTTTGATCTTTGATGATTTCGTTCTTCTTATCGTCCACAATCTGTAAGATTTCTGATAACTTGTGACCCAGGTGTTGATCAGATGTTAAACATTTTGTACAAACAGGAATGTCACATTGTTTACAGTACATTGTACATGGCTGTCTGTTATGATGTTTACACTCTGGGTAGAGGGGCGTAGATTTCCTGGACTGAAATTTGACGACTTTGTGATCTTTAGATTCATTTGTTGAGATGTGTTCTCCCACACAGGACTTACACAGGTTGACAAGACACGTATCACAGTGCATCTGTACTACAGCTGTCTCACAAAGGTCACATCGCATCACGTCCTGGGCACTGGTACGGGGGTCCATGGTGAAATTTTTGACTCTGAAGTATAGAGTTAATTAGGCTTTAGAATAGAGCTAAGTTGGTAAGATTTTGGAAAAAAAAAACATTTAAGTATTTCACTTGTTTCTTTTCAGTTAAATTTCAATTTATTGGGCAAATTATCTGTTCCATCACAGTTAGAGTACTATCATTATTCAATTTTTACTAACAGTAAAATCTAAAATTCAATGGGTTCATACCCCAGGGTGGGGATTTGGTTCTATATACATGTATTACAAAATAAAAATTGGGTATTTAGAATGTTCTAGTCTCAAGTACAGATGTCATGATTATCAAGCAAACTGTTTGCATGATTATTATTATTATCTCATTATCTTGTTCTAAATTATAAAAAAAAAAATATGGATAGTTGGAGCTGAGTTGGTCACATGAAGAAACTACATTAAACTCAGAGCAGGATGATTTGACAATTTTTTATTCATTGACCTAGGAAATCTTTAGTAATGTTTGGTTTTCAAAAAAACAAACTTTTATACATGTAGCTATATATATTAATGGCTATCCCTATATATTTACTGTTATAAAGTAATAGGTAAAATGTTCAATTATAAATATATATTACCTGACTTTGGAAACAGCAATGGCTGCCAATAAATTGGGTGTTGTTTGAATATGTTCTGGTTTTTGGTCACATGACCTAGTTACCTGTATTATCTACCTGTCAGGTATTTAACTTCCTGGTCTAGATTTAGCAAGGATTTAAATCTCTTAAATCTCAGCTCTGTGTTTTGCTTTGTTAACTATGCAAAGTTTTATTTTATTTTAAAAATATTGACAGTAAAATTATGAAATTCTCTCAGCATGATATAAGAAATTCAAGAAAAACTGATCACTGAATCATTCCACCCCACCCTCTTTTTTCTGTATGAATTATGATATTATGAACGGTATTCAAGTTTAAAGTTCATTTAAACAATATAAATGGGAGGGGGAAACACAGACCTTGGAAATATCACAGGTGGGATCAGTTGCCACAGAGGAGTGAGCATCCCCTGCCAACCTGTCACATTCACCGTGTGCTCCTTGTCATGAAAATTCAATGTGAAAATATTGGCTTAATTGCAATGTCCTATATGTCAGAAGAAAACAGTAAATTCAGGTGACCTATTGCTATCTGTTTTCCTCCGGCATCATGTGTTAACATTTGAACATTTTCAACATTTCTGCAACCGCTCTACCAATCCCAATCAATTTTGGCAGAAAGCATATATGGTTGAAGGGGAACAAAACTTGTGAATATCATGGTCCCTGCCTCCTTGGGGCCCAATCAAATGGGCCAAAACCACTAAAACTAATGCAATCTTTAAAAATCTTCTTCTTTACACCTGGATATCAAGCAGTCAAACTGTTAGTATGATTTTAATCAGCATTCAGTCCATCCACCAAAATTGCAAAATTCATGCATCCTGGGTCAGGGGCTCTAGTGCTAGGGTTGGCCTATATAGATAATATATTGAAAATGCATTTATTTGAAAATCTTCTTATATATCTGCTCCTGGGTATTTAATAAACAAACTAAGTACATACTGTAAAACAACTTTTATTCGTGACGAGTTTATTTCGCGATTTATCAGGGTACAATCATTCGCGACGATTAATTTTCGCGATTAAATGTTTTTTTGAATTGTTGGTAATACAACAGAGACTTTCAGGACCGTTTTGTGGTGAGAAACATTCGCGATGACAAGGCTCTTGCGAACCTCGCGAAAATTTCTCGCACACGAATAAAAGTTGGTTTACAGTAGTTATGATCAACAAGAGTGTCTCTTCCAGAATTGAGAATTTCATGGCCCATTAGGTCAAAGGTTCTAGATCTGGTGTTGAAGCAAGTCTCTATTGATTATATAGTAAAATACATTAATTCTTTGAAATCTTCTTTTATGCTCTGTCGCCCGCGTGGAGCAGTGGCTAGAGAATCTGCTCTAGAGTTGCGAAGTAAGCAGTCAATCCTTACGTCGCGGGTTCAAATCCCACTGTGGAACATGGAGACCAGTCCTTCGGATGAGACCATATAAACCGAGGCCCCATGTCCCAGTAGGTGCTGGCACGAAGAAGATCCCTCCCTGCTCATAACCCTGAGTTCTGAGTATAGGAAAAAATTTGCAGCTCTCCACCAGCAAGTGGTGGCGTCTCCATATGAGTGAAAAATTCTCGAGAGGGATGTTAAACAATTTGCAATCAATCTTCTCTGCTCCTGGTTATTATTTGAAAGTAAACTAACTTTTCATATTTAAAATGAGCATGATTCCTTCAACCAAATTTGTGAATTTCATGGCCCCTTGGTCAGGTTTTTTTTCCATTTGGGGAAGGGAGGGGGGTTCTCTTGTCTGAATTTGGTTATGTAGTGAAAATTTATTAATTCTTTGAAAATCATTTTCTTTGCTTCTGGGTATTATGCCAACCAATGATATATTAAGTATATATATATTTATGATGAAGAAAGGCACATCTTGCAAAATTGTTAATTTATGCCCCCTGGGTCAGTTGTGTTGGGATAGGGGGTTACATTTCGGTAGTCTGAAAATCAATTAATGCTTTGAAATCTGCTCTTTGGTATTAATCAACATTTATGATGAAATAAAATTTATAAAATTCCCAAAATTTTGAAATATGTGGTCCCAGGGTCATTGGTTCCTGTGGGAGTGCCAGTGGGGTACACAACTGGATATAAAGTGCATTCTCTCTTTGTTACTCTGATCTACCTCTGGGTATTAAGTAATAGAGTAAGCATGCTAAGCATACAATTATGATATGCAATGGTGCCTCTTTCAAAATTGTGAATCTTTTGGCCTCTGGTTTAAAACACAAACCAAATTCAATTGTTGGAAAGTTGTTACTTGATACTTAGGTTACCTATAAGGCCTGTGGGCCTCTTGCTTAATTAGCTGTTAATAGGAAGTTATTAATAAGTTATCATATTGAACTGTATGATATAGCTTTTATTTAATCAATACACAGCCCTAAAATCAAAACATGTATTTAATTTTCTTCACTTGACTGTTACTCATCTGAGCAACAAACAGATTGTCATTTGTATCTGTACACAGTCCATAGGGATAAATCAGTTCACAGTCTATGTAACGGAGGAACTGTCCATCCTGGTCTATGATGTGGACACACTCATTGCTAACATCAGCTGTAAGGATGTGACTCTGACTGTCTGTGGTGATTCCTAGTGGATTGAATGGTTGGTTCTTTGGAGCAGGAGTATGTCCAGTGTACCTGAATCTCAGTTTCCCAGCTTGATTGACCACCACTATTTCTTTAGCTCCATCCTCAGACACACAGATATCCTGGTTCCTGTTCTCTGTTATGTATCTTCTAAAACCAACAGATGAATAGAGAGATTTACCTTTATCATCAAACTGAATGGTTTGTTTCTCTGTGGAGCCAGAGTAACAGACAACTTTTGCTGGTTTGTCAAAATTGTCCATGATAACCAGGAGGTCACCAGAGGAGGTACTATAGACACCGCTAGGTATCCAGTTCTGTAGTCTGATCACCTCCTCTATCTTCCCATTCTTTACAATGTTCACAGTTCTATCCCTGTAATCAGTATAAACTAGATCTCCACTTTTTGTCACTGCTATTTCAAATGACCATTCCCATGACTTGGTTGTGAAACACTGGAGTAGTGATCCCTGATTGATGCTGTAGAGTTTCATTGTATTGTCATTTCCTGTTATCCAGATTTCTTCATCACTCAGACAGGCCACATTGTAAAGCTGTCCATACTCAGTGTCTATGGTGGTGACAGTCTCTGGTTCATCAAGCAGCTGTTTGACTGGAGGAGAGGATCCAGCTTCTGGTAATTTCTTTGTTGCCTTCATGCTGTAGCCATGTTCAACTGAAGTCCAAGAACTTGATGATAAAGTTCCAAACAGTTTACTGAGTTTTTCTCCTTGAATTTTTTCTGGAATGAATTTGGGTAAGGACAGGGATAGTTTTTGTGGAAGGTTTCTGTATCTATGTATTTTTTATGTAACACTAAACAGTTTGGACAAGTCATTAGTGTCTATAGCCATTTCAGCTGAATTGATTTCATCCTTGATTTCAGACATTGTCTTGTTTATTTCATCCAGATGTTTCTGTAGAGTTTGTAACTGTGTGTTTTTCATTTCATCAACTTCAGCTTTAAGTTTCTTGACAAGTTTGTCAATTTCTCTGTGCCAGTCCTCTCCATGTTTTGTTATGGCTGTTGAGAGATCTCCATATTCCTTTTTTAACTGACTCATTTTGTTTTGTACATCAGAGGCAATGTCCTGGTAGGTGGGATAAATTTTCTCCTTTAATTCAGTTTGATCTTCGATGATTGCGTTCTTCTTATCTTCCACGATCTGTAAGATTTCTGATAACTTGTGACCCAAGTGTTGATCAGATGTTAGACATTTTGTACAAACAGGAATGTCACATTGTTTACAGTACATTGTACATGGCTGTTTGTTATGATGTTTACACTCAGGGAAGAGGGGGGTAGATTTCCTGGACTGAAATTTGACGACTTTATGGTCTTTGTTTTCATCTGTTGAGATGTGTTCTCCCACACAGGCCTTACACAGGTTGACAAGACATGTATCACAGTGCATCTGTACCACAGCGGTCTCACACAGGTCACATCGCAGCACGTCCTGGGCACTGGTACGGGGGTCCATGGTTAAGTTTTTGACTCTGAAGTATAATTAGGCTTTAGAATATAGAGCTAAGTTAGTAAGATTTTGGGTAAAAAAACATTAGGTATTTGACTTGTTCCTTTTCAGTTTTGGAGGGGCATTTATCGGGCAAATTATCTGTTTCATCATAGAGTACTACTGTTTTTTAATTTTTACCAACAGTAAAATCTAAAGTTCAGTGGGTTCATACCCCAGGGTGGGGATTTAGTTCTATACGCTGATAAATGTATTACAAAATACTGTAGATCACTTAATTTCCGCGACACCTTATTTTCGCGCGATACTGTGGTTTCATCAATTTTCGTCGGCATCAATTTTCGTGGAATTTGTAAAACATACATTTTCGAGGATACGTTATTTCGTGGACAAAAGCATTGCCTGTACAAATGTATGCCATATTTCGTAATTCAATGAACATTTGAATCCATGGATCTGCTCAACAACGAAATCCACAAATATTGGTGCTCAACGAATATTGATGAAACCACAGTAGTCATTGACTCCTGTTTAGCGAGACAAAATTTTCACTAATTGTGGTTCTTGCTCTATATTATTCTAAGAAATACTTTTATACGCGAGAATTACATTTTCGTGAGCACACTGTCTCGCTTAATTATGCGAAAATAAAGTTCTCATGAATAAAAGGCGATTTACAGTATTTAGAATTTTCTAGTCTCAAGGACAAATGTCATGATTATCAAGCAAACTGTTTGCATGATTATTATTATCTCATAATCCTGTTCCAAATTATAAATTAAATAACACGGATAGTTGGAGCTGAGTTGGCCACATGAAGAAACTACATTAAACTCAGAGCAGGATGATTTGACAATTTTTTATTCATTGACCTAAGAAATCTTTAGTAACGTTTGGTTTTTCAAAAAAAAACTTTTATACATGTAGTATAGATATTAATGACTATCCCTATATATTTACTGTTATCTAGTAGCTAAAATTTTCAATTAAAATATCAAAATTTTTAATTAATATATAAAACATTACCTGACTTTGAAGACAGCAATGGCTGCCGATAAATTGGGTGTTGTTTATGTTCTGTTTTTGGTCACATGACCTAGTTAAGTGTGTTATCTACTTGTCAGATATTTAACTTCCTGGTCTATATATAGTTGGGATTTAAATCTCTTAAATCTCAGCTCTGTGTTTTGCTTTGTTAACTATGCAAAGTTTTATTCCTTTTAATATTTGATTTTTAAAATACTGACAGTAAAATAATGAAATTCTCTCAGCATGATATGAGAAATTCAAGGAAAACTGATGACTGAATCATTCCAACCCCCCAACCCCCCCTTTATCCAACAGCACCTGGAGAACCAAAAGTGTTCATCAAACATCAATGGATGAAAGTTTGATGCCAGTAAATGATCTCAAAACCATAACTTAATCATGTTAATAATTTGGAGTACTAATTTGAATTAAATTACCCAAGTCACTCAAATTAAACAGTCGTAAACATGTTAAATATTTTATGTATTGTCTAGGATTTAATAGTGATTGTGAGAATTTTCTGTATGAATTATGAAATTATGAACAGTATTCAAGCTCAAAGTTGATTTAAACAATATAGATCGGGAGGAAACACAGACTTCCAAAATATCGGAGGTGGGATCAGGTGCCATAGAGGAGTGAGCATTCCCTGCCGACCTGTCACATTCGCCGTGTGCTCCTTGTCATGAAAATTCAATGTGAAAATATTGGTCTTGCAATGTCTGATATGTTGGAAGAAAACAGTTTTTAGGTGACCTGAGTAAACTCAGGTTATATTAGTGAAATGCTTAAATGATTAAATCTTTAAAAATCTTCTTCTCTGCTGTTGGGTATTAAATAAACTAACTAAGCACATAGTTATGATGAGCAAGACTGCCTATTCCTTAATTGTGAATTCTACTGGGGCCAGGGGTTCTGGTGTTAGGACAGGTCTCTATTGACTATTTAGTGAAAATATATTAAATATAAATAAATATCTCTGAAATCTTCTCTGCTCCTGAGTATTATGCAGATGAACGACCTATATAGCTATGATGAGCAGGGGCCTTTCTTCCATAATTGTGAATTTCAAGGCCCCTGGGTCAGAGGTACCATAGAGGGGGCGGGGCTTTACTTATATATAGTGAATTATTACTGAAAATGAATTAATTTTTGGAAATCTGTTCCTTGGTATTGAACATCTTTGATAAGCAGGGGTGCCTTTTCCAAAATTGTGAAATTTATGGACCTAGGGTCAGGGGTTCATGTGCGGTAGGGGCACGACTGATTATTGCTGAATATTATTTTTTAGTTGAAATGCAATTTTTGTTCCCCAACCCTGCTTATCAGTAGTAAGTAACCAAACTAAGCAATTGCCAACTGTATATATATATATATATATATATATAGTTTTGATGAGCGATGGTGCCTCTTTCAAAATTGTGATTGCCATGGCATCTAGTTGAAAACATGAACCAAATTCACTCATTGGAAAATTGTTGCATGATGCTCAGGTGACCTATAAGGCCCATGGCCCTCTTGTTTAAATTTATGTACAATTAATTATTTTGCAGTTGAGAGGAAAACCTATCATTACATCCTTAGCCATGCTCCAGTGATTTTTGGGTCTCTTCAAGAGCCATACAAAGCTGTCCAGGTGAGTTGCTTTTTCACCTGATTTCTCAACTAATATTAAGTTAGTACCAGGTATAGTACATTAATTTAATTGGATTAGACAATAAAAGGAGAAAAAAATTGGGACTTCCAAGTCATTCTGATTTATCCAATGGCATTATATTTGAGATGACAATTGCATCTTATTGTTGAAGATGACAGTCAGAAGTTACATGTATCTGTTCATGTTCAGTCTGTTGAATCACATTCTGAATCATATCTGTTCAATTTACTTGATACAGCAATTTTTGTATAATGACTTGTTGAATTGAAAAATATGACACTGTATTTCAGTGAACTTGTCAGAGAATTGATTTCAATTCAATTGGAATAAATGAATTTATACTGAAATATATAAATTATCAATTTATAAAGGAGAAATTTAATTTATTATTTTCTGACGATATTTTTTTTCCAAGCAAATATTGACTGACATGAAGAAGGCCGGTTACCACCCCACAATAGAGACTTATAACATGGCTCTGCTGGGACTAAAATCTCAACGCTTTGACATGAACAATTCAGAATGCCTGAATTTTGCCTTCAAACTTATTGCTGATATGAAGGATCTAGGAATAGGTAAGTTGTTTGTGGTTCGGATGGACTTTGTGGTATGTACAGTCAATCCTTGTTAATGTGAATGTTAGTATCCTGTATGTTTCACTTTTTTGGACAATATTATTGAGAGCATAATTCGCATTAATATCTACCACTTATAAGATATTCATTTCATCCACCCTAATTTTTCATTAATCTGGACAAATGGTAAACTTTCTTAATTTTCATATGTGAATTTTCTCAGATGCCATTAAATGAAAATGAACCAAAATGTATTAACAAATGCAAATTTGTTTTGGAGGGACATATACTCCAAATAAATATTACAAAATTTTATGGTTAAATGAAACGAAAAAAAAAAGGGACAGAATATATTGGTACAATTTTTGATTTGATAAATTTCTTTTTAATTATTTTCAGAGCCCACGTTGGACACTTGGAGTATACTCACTAGTCTGTTAGACATGTCAGTGTTTGGAAAAGGAACAAGTTAGTGCTTCTGTTAATTAAATTTTAAAAAAGGAGGGGTTTCATTGAAAAAAAAAATGTATGGCCAGAATATTGTCCTCTTTATAATTAACACAATTTTTACTGAAAATTCACTTCAGGAATTTTTAAGTACATGTATGTATAGGTATATACACAATTTATAACTTGTAGGCACCTAAAAATCTCATCTAATTTCTGATATTAATTGACATTATGTCTAATGAATATTTATTTCCAGGTTCAGGGGTCATGCAGGTAATGAACCATATGCTGGATGAGATGGAGGGAAAGAGATTTAAGGACGTAGGCCCAGAAGGCAGTAAGTTATGCAGTGAATTATACAAAGGGAAATAAATCTTGTCTGTCTGATTGTAAGTCAATTTTACTCATGAATATTAAAATAGTGATTGATAAAATTTGAAAAATGAGATCAAACTCATTCAAAGAGCATAGATGATAGGGATTTGGCACTTGGGAAAAAAAATTCTGTGAACTTGTAGTGCAGAGCAAAGTTTGATAATATGCTAATATTCTTTCAATTTATGCAAGGCAGTTATGAAGTTAAAACTTTTAATTGAATAACATTATTTGTAAATACTGGTACGTGTAGTGCAAAGTAATGAAATTGGAATGAATTTTCTTTTGTTAATATTTTACAGGGAAATTCATCATGAGAGCCTTAAGGACTGTAAGTTGGAAATATTTAGGACATAAATAGTTTATAAGCGACATTGTATGAGACAATAAACTTGGTAGTCAATTACCTGGTAATCAAAGATTGTGAAGCCTACATAGGCAATTTAGCCACATATGATCCACGTACGCATTGCCTTTCATATGAGGATCATATGTGGATCATATGAGAATCATATGTATATGCAATCATATGAGAATCATATGATACTCATATGTGGATCATTATACAGTTAAAGTATATCGTTGATGGAGTCGGCAAGATTCCAGTTCCCCAAGAGCAGGTCTATTTCCCGAGGCGCTTGCGCCAAGGGAAATAGGCTTGCTCGAGGGGAACTGGAATCTTGCTGGCTCCCGAAATGATATACTTTAACTGTTTTATTATACCGATACAAACAAGACATTTGAAAAAAATTATATTCAACACTGTATTCAGTAACAATGTTTAGAAAAAATGAAAAAAAAAAAAAACGACAAAAACAGAACACAGTCATGAAAGGAATCCATTTTATCAATAAATCAGTTCATTGTCCGAGTTTTTACCTAGTAAAATCGAAAGTAACATTACGCAAAATTGAGCATGCCATTTCTGTTGTCGTTCGCTTCCAGTAAACTGGTTCTTTTTGATTGATATGGGACCAGTTGACTCGCGATGCATTTCGATTCACTAATGAATATTCATGAGTTTATTCGGAACATTTTTAAGTTTGTCGTAAAGTTGAAAGAAAATGTCAAGCGTTCCGAATAGGTGTTTATCAGTTCATCAAAAAAACGTACTTTTTTTGCAGGGAATCAGTCTGTTTTGCAGGGAATCGGTTTATTTAAGGTGATTTTCAGGAAATCAGCAAAATATATCGATTTACTTTTATATAGTGAAAAATCAGTAGAGGTATAATAAATGTGACTAAGTTGCCTGTGTAAAGGGCCTGTACATGTATCTACATGTATAATGTTTCCCTTTTATAATACACTGTTATGGACAGAAGGGAGACATCACCAGTTTTCCAGTCTGAGTTGAGATATCACAATTACATTGTATATCATTTTCAAACAAGTCCCTTTAAGCTTAAGGGGAATTGATCATGTGACCAACAAAAAATACATGTATCCCAATAAATGTTTAAAATTTAATCTTGTACATTTTTTCTAAGGGAAGAGTTGCATTTCAATTTATTTGTCAGATATTTGAAGCTCTCCACTATCTTGCGTAAAATATGAGAAATTCTAGAGAAATTTTAGTTCAGTGCATTGCTGTGAAAAAAAAACGTAGTGAATTTCTGTTTAAAAGTGGAGGTTTTGTAAGCCCCTGATCATAAGAAACATTACTGTTTACCAATTATAGTTTCTATGAATGGCCACTTATGACACGTAATTTTTTTTTCAATAGGCACTCTTTCACCAAGACCTTGACTTTGCGTACAGAATTGATGCTTTTTACAAAACGGGACAGAATTATAAATTTCTTGATGATCATGATCACTATTCTTATAGGTAAGTAAAAAAACTGAAATAAAAAAAATGTGATACTGTCAAACGTATGTGTCTGAAACTGCTTTGGTATAAGAAAACATAAACACTACTTTAAAATTCTACAGTTATGTGTATATATAAAGAAGTAAATTATTCTTTCTTTTTTTCTGATTCTAATGACATCCTCTTTGTATAACAGGGTGATCATGTTTGTAATAGCTGTATACAAAGAGCCCAGTCTGGACAAAGTTGTAGATTTATACACAGCACTGCATCCTGTGGTATGTAAATGAGAATTTCATTTGTTAGGGGGGTGTTTTATCTATGTCAGATCATGTTCTTGATTAAAAGTAAATAAAATATTTACAGGACGAGATAAGGTTTGTGAATGTATTCCGCAAGTTCATCAAAGATCTCACCGTTACCAAGTCCTACAAGTTTATTCCTCAGCTTCTTAATTGTAAGTACAGCTCTCCTGTCTGAATGTGTCAAATACTGTAAATCACTTTTTATTCGCGAGAACTTTATTTACACGTAATTACGCGAGACAGTGTGCTCGTGAAAAACAAGTTCTCGCGTATAATAGTCATCCTTAAGATTACATAGAGCAATAACCGCAATTCGTGAAAATTTTGTCACGCTTAATAAGAGTCAATGACTATCTCGCAAAAATAAGGTGTCGCGAAAATTTAGTGATCTACAGTATATGATGAAATATTATATATTCCATTACACTGCACTGCCCTCTGAGTGAATGACCTTCATTTAATGTCTTTTAACAAACAAGTTCATTCATACATGTTAACTCTCCCGATTTAGGCGGGAGTCTACCGCTTTTTCACTCCATCTCCCGCCTACCGATTTAATTCAGAAATCTACCGCTTTTCTACAAAAGCTGCGTCTAAAGTATTTTTGGTCCGCTTGGGTATCCATTTTTGAAGCCACTCTCATAAAATCTCGCTAGATATCGCGTGATTTGACTCGGAATCATACAAACGCTTTTTTTGTACATAGATTTCAAGCACGGATTTGACAACGACAACAACATAAGACTACCAGTGATTACATTGGTTACGATAAATTAATCAACATCCCTGCCATGAAAAAGGAGATACAGCTTTTAAGAATTAGATGAAAACATTTGACATCGTCTTTAAAAGCACAGAAGCTCACAACTTTATCAAAAGTCAATAGAAATCACTCGATTGACCAAGTCATGTGGCACATCTCTACTTTCGTTTTCGATCATCGCGGGAAATCTGACTTATATAACGAAAGATACGAACTTGTTTTAGATCTAGATTAAACCATGTCATCATTTGTTTTGTTTAAAAACTGAATGAACATTCAGAATCATTGCTTCTAGGCTATTTCAGCAAAGATCACTCTTCAAAAGACTAAGTAAAGCAGCCAATCCAAGCAAAATGATGAGCATGAAAAATATTTGAATTTGTACAATTTATATCAAACTTAAGGTGTTTCTGTCTTCTTCTTTGCTGTTAATATTTAAGATTAATTAGTGTAGGTACCTGATTTCATTTAAGGCTTATAATATACATTTATATTACATGAAAGATATCGATAATCCAAGCGTTAAACAACACGCGCGCAATGCTACCGCTTTTGAGGTCTGAATCTCCCTCTTTTTCATCACAATAGGTTAACATGTATGAGTTCATTAGTTCATCTGAAGCTCAAGTAAGGGCTATTCCAGAAAAAATTGTATGGGGGGGTTGGAAGGCACTTTTATTTTTACCCCACCACCCATACATTTTTAATTGCTTTCTCCCCCACCACCCATCAAATTAAAAATGCTTTTAATACAACCACCCATCTAAATTTAAAATATTAATTGTTTAAAGAATTCTATTTTAAGTTATGTATATATAAAATAAAATTTTATGTACCGGTACTTTTTTCAAGCATTTGCACTTGTGACTTTATACACCTTGAAATGAGTGTTCGCTTTTGGAATGTATCCAAACAATGGACTCGATTAAAAAGAAAAAAAAAATATGATGCAAATCTAAATAATATTCACAAAACTTTCATTTTTCCATTACTTTGAAAATAGTTAATCTTTTTTAAAAGGAATTTAGAAAGATATTTTTATGCAAATTTCAACAGAAACAAAAGTTTTGTAAGATTTTACAATCAGCTAATTTTTTAAGTTCAAGTCAAAAGTTCTTTTGTAACACAGGCCACAGAGTTCCTGCTATAGCCTACAGGTTTCCGTTTTTTTTTTTTTGTTTTTTTGAGGGGGGGGGGGCACTTAAGTCATGTACTTATGTTGGACATTGTCTATTTAGTGGGACGTGAAAATAAAAAACGAAGTCTCAATCCCACCTAACAACCGTGCAGGCACTTGTTTCTGAAATATATTTTTAAAATTCATTTGTATGTTATGGCCTAGTTAGAATAATCTAACGGTGTCTCGGTACAAGCCCTCACCACAGTTAAACCGGGTCCGTAGGACAATATCATTTTAACGATAGAACATTCTATCTAGTTATGGCCGGGTTAATAATAATATATTCGAGGTAACACTCAACAGATTAAGGATTGGTATGCATTGACATGATACATGTATATTGTTACAAACCCTGTTTTATATAAACATTAAATATTTGACTTGCAAACTCCATAGTCCTCCTCTAAGATATTTATTATCAGATACGTTTTTTTTTTTTCTACTTTCGGTTTTAATCAAACTATCTCTCTGATTGTTTCTAAATCATTTAATTTACCAATGTAATCACGTTTGAATAAATTGCTGGAATGAAACTTGAGCTGGAAGCAACAAAGAACACAAGAACACAAAGAAACCGTGTCCATATCTTTCACTGTCATTACACCATGTGCTTTTATAATTATCTGCCCTTGTTTCCGGTTTGTTCGATTCTACTTTCACTTTCAATGTAAACACACTCTCAACTGTTTTGGACGTTTTTTTTTTTGTTTTTTTTTTTAAATAAATATCAATATTTACTGGCTTATACAAAATGAAAGGAAAGAAATTCTTTGCAGTTGATTATTTGTGAGGGTAAGTGCAACCACCCATCTAAAAATATATCGGATGAGGACAACCACCCATGCAAATTTAATTGCTCCAGTCCCCATTACCCATACAAAAATATATGAAGTGCCGTCCAACCCTCCCATACATTTTTTTCTGGAATAGCCCTAAACTAACTAACCCCATCCCAAATATTTTATTGTTGTATGTTTTATTTGCTTTAATCAGAAATGATTTATTAAACAGACCCATAATTTTTTTTTCCCCTTTGAGTTTGAAAGGGGGGTTTTGATGTATGCCTATAGGTTTTTCACCTTATTCAATGATTTAGATTGTAATTTATCAGATAATGGGAAACAGTGATAACACTAAAGCCTCAATGTTAATATAAACCACTGTTGATGAGGTTTAATCTGAAGAGACTTTTATTGAACTCTTGAAATTTTCTCGGAAGTATTATTATTGTTATTTGTAATATTGTTTTTATTTTTTAGCTTTCCATGCTGCCAGTTTCAATTTGGCTGAAATAACAGCTTTCCTAGCCAAAGAGAAGCAACCAACACTGGTAAATTAACAATTATCATGAATTATGCACAGGAAATCTTCTTAAGATTTTCCTACTTAAAACATCTCTGATTGGATTTTTAAAGGTTGATTATTCTATTAAGCATTGAAAATCCAGCATGTTCAAAAGGATTTTATTATTGTCTTCAATGGTTGTTACAGACTCTGTACATGCACTTAATGACATGTACCAGGGTACTCCCGTCATCTAGCAAGATTTATAGGCATTTTATTTCTATTTACAGAAATTCTAGATACATGTATTTCTAAAATCCATATAGCCTGAATAGCTAAGAACTATTCTACATGTACATGAACTTGGAATTGCGGACATACATGACTGTATACTTATATATACAAAATCTGTGTCTAAATCACAAACAAGCAAATTCAGAAAAGAATTTTGGTCCTCTGCTTTCGGTGTCTTTGTGGGTGAGAGTCATTTTTTATGGCATATTTGTGTCAAATATGAATGCTCTATCATATGCCATTCAGAAGTTATAATCTTCACGATTGACCTAATTTTCAGAACAATCAACTTTGGTGATAACTTGTGAATGACAAATGAAAGGTGCTCATATATGAAACAAATGCCATAAAAATGACATCTCACCCACAAAAACAATTCTTTGAATTTGCTTGTTTCTCATTTTTGCAGAAATCAATTATTTATTGATGTCTAAATTACACATATGTATATTAACTTCTTGAATTTATTTTTATTTTTCAGGTGCAGGTAAAATTGTCAGAGTTTGTGAAGGTGAAGTTGTCAGAACTAGAGGAAAGACAGAATGTGAGGTGAGGGAACACACAGCAAGTCAAGACAAGAGGAGACAGAGGGGTGAAGTACTAAAGGGGCAAAAGTCTAGTTTAAGATGGGGCCTAGGCATGGAGACATGAATGAGAACTCCACCTAATCTTAAACAAAACTGAGCTATGCTTAATAGGCCAGATTCTAGGTCATTTGTCAAGGTCATCCCCATATAAGTAAAAGATTAAGTTTGTAGCAGGATGTTAAACAACAAACAAACTAATCAAGGTTTAAGTCAATTATTCTCTGAGAAATCCTTGTTTGTCCTATCTCCCCTTGGGCCTCCCATTGAAAATTCAAGGAATCATAAATTGATCATGGGTAAAGGATGAGAACTGACCAGAACCAATTTTTAGATACAAGTTCAAGGTGTTTGGAGCATAGTTTTCTCCCCTTTATTTAGCATGGCTCAAATTTCTTAGAAAGAGTGCCTTTGTGTAATGATCTTAAGCCAAATTTTCTTCTCCTAAAGAGGAATGCCTAAGAAAAAATTTTTGTAAATACGAAATGGTCCTCTCCAATAATATTTGTTTGAAGATGTCATTTCCGTCATTTTCTTAGATTTCATTTAAGCTTGAATTCTTTGTGAGTTTTTTGGTTTATAAACTGTGTTTATCTTTTCAGACCAAAAATGGAATTATTGGAGAACATGCTAATGATAGCCATGAATGGTGAAAACATTGAATTAGCTTGGTAAGAACTACGTTGTTTATCCTTATCCTTAAATTGGAAAGGATTTTTCACTTCATATACCATAAGTTTGTGGTGAATAAAATTAGATTTGGGATAATTTTTTTGTTTATTTACTGCCAAAAGAAATAAAGTTTTACCATGTATTGCTTAAGTTGAGACTTTTCAAAGTTAAGACTTGTTAGATGCAAGAATCAGCTTTTAAAAGATTGATATGAACTGTTATCTATCTAAACATCTATTGATATGTGCAAGTGGGAATAGGAGGAATTGAAATTTTTAAAAGGTGGGATAGGTAGAAGATATGGTTTATGGTAATATGCTACAATTTTTAACTCAGCTGAGCTTTTCTGATAAAAATTTGTCTTGTTTACTGTCATCGTTGCAATTTTGACCTACATGTATGAACATGTTGTCTATTAATGGAAAATGAACTTATATTATATTAAGAGGATGGTAACTGGAAATTTTTTTCTCTCTTTTCAGGAAAGTGTTTACATTTATTATAACCAATAGAAAGAATATGTATGGAGCAGAGATAACCATGTAAGTACTCAGTATACACAGTGCCAGGATTAAAATGAAATTAGAGGCGCAACATAAATATGGGAAATATATGCATGTATATAGGATTATTTTTACCGTAAAATCACGTGTATTGGCTGCACTTTTTTTGTCAAAAAATCATTCAAAAGTAGGGGTGCGCTCAATACATAGGAACAAAATTCAACTCCCTTTTTTTCAGGTCACTTTCTCAGTACCCACAACCATTTTCCTGATCCATTTATAAATTGATTACTCTTTGTAACCAATTACATCAAAGTTAATCTAATTTCAGAGAGTTTTATACGCAAGCCCTACCTGTTGTAGAAATATACATGTACCTTAAGTGTTGAAAGAACTAATATTGTTTCAGAAAGATAATTCTGATGAAAAACGATCTTTCTTTGTTTTAATTCCATTGTGTATTCCGCCATGTAATTTTCACCCTATTACATTTGAAAACTTAATTGCCCCATTTTTAGCTCACTTGAGCCTTCGGCTCAAGTGAGCTTTTCTGATCAAAATTTGTCCGTCGTCTGTCGTTGTCGTTGTTTTTGTCGTTGTTGTCGTAAACTTTTCACATTTTCATCTTCTTCTCAAGAACCACTGGGCTGATTTCAACCAAACTTGGCACAAAGTATCCTTGGGTGAAGGGGATTCAAGTTTGTCCAAATGAAGGGCCACGCCCTTTTCCAAGGGGAGATAATTATAAATTTGTTAAAAATTAATGGCATTTTTAAAAAATCTTCTTCTCTAGAACCGATGGGCCAGGAAAGATGAAACTCATGTGGAAGCATCCTCAGGTAGTGTAGATTCAAGTTTGTTCAAATCATGACCCCCGGGGCAAGGATGGGGCCAAAATGGCCAACCCAAGTTTTACATAGGAATATATAGGAAAAATCTTTAAAAATTCTTCTTCTCCAGAACCACTGGGCCAGGAAAGATGAAACTCATGTGGAATCATCCTCAGGTAGTGTAGATTCAAGTTTGTTCAAATCATGACCCCCGGGGCAAAGGTGGGACCAAAATGGCCGACCCTAGTTTTACATAGGAATATATAGGAAAAATTTTTAAAAATCTTCTTCTCAAGAACCACTAGGACAGGAAAGATGAAACTCGTTGAATCATCCCCAGGTAGTGTAGATTCAAGTTTGTTCAAATCATGACCCCTGGGGCAAGGGTGGGGCCAAAATGGCTGACCCAAGTTTTACATAGGAATATATAAGAAAAATCTTTAAAAATCTTCTTCTCCAGAACCACTGGGCCAGGAAAGATGAAACTCATGTGGAATCATCCTCAGGTAGTGTAGATTCAAGTTTGTTCAAATCATGACCCCCGGGGCAAGGGTGGGGCCAAAATGGCCGACCCAAGTTTTACATAGGAATATATAGGAAAAATCTTTAAAAATCTTCTTCTCCAGAACCACTGGGCCAGGAAAGATGAAACTCATGTGGAATCATCCTCAGGTAGTGTAGATTCAAGTTTGTTCAAATCATGACCCCCGGGGCAAGGGTGGGGCCAAAATGGCCGACCCAAGTTTTACATAGGAATATATAGGAAATATCTTTAAAAATCCTTCTGAAGATCCACTGGGCCAGGAAAGATGAAACTCATGTGGAATCATGTTTGTTCAAATCATAACCCCCGTGGCTAGGGTGTGGCCAAAATGGCCGACCCAAGTTTTACATAGGGATATATAGGGAAACCTTTTAAAATCTTCTTTTCAAGTACTTCAAAGCTATGATTAGTGATATTTATATGGAATCATCCTCAGGTAGTGTAGATTCTAGTTTGTTCAAATGATGAACGCCTGGAGGGGGGAGTAAATTCAAGCCCGATGTGCTCAGGTGAGCGCTGTGGCCCCTGGGCCTCTTGTCAATTTAAGTAGACATACTTCTTTTTCTCTCTCTTTTTCAAGGAATATAATGTCTGTTAAATTCTATTTCAATTCAACCACTGACTAGGGCAATGGACCAAATTAAAACTTGGGAGAAAAATATTCTCTCAGTATTGAACAAACTATTTGACCTCAGGATAATTTTTTTTTTTTAATTTAAATGAAAAGACACCTTTTTTTATTACATTTTATCAAGCATTGTTTAATTTTAAAGATTACAAACTTTGATTGTTTGATACTAGGATTTATATAGGGAAAAATGGAAAATCCTTTATGTGACACATATTGATATTGATAAGCTACAGTATTTTGTTACATGTATAAGGCTTTTATTTTATATTTTGATAGGATCCAGCCTTTTGAGGGACTCTTAGATTACTACATTTCTGCAGATGACTTGGGAAAATGTGCAGTAAGTACAACTTAACCTGATCACAGCAACTTTTTAGCTCACCTGAGCCAAAGGCTCAATTGAGCTTTTCTGATCAAAATTTGTCCATAGTCTGTCGTCGCCATTGTTGTTGTCATAGTAAACTTTTCACATTTTCATCTTCTTCTCAAAAACCGCTGGGCCAATTTCAACCAAACTTACCACAAAGTATCCTAAGGTGAAGGGGATTTAAGTTTTTTCAAATGAAGGGCCACATTTTCTTCCAAGGGAAGATAATTATGAATTAGTGAAAAATTAATGGCATTTTTTTAAAAAATCTTCTCAAGAACCACTGGGCCAGGAAAGATGAAACTCGTGTGGAATCATCCTCAGGTAGTGTAGATTTTCAAGTTTGTTCAAATCATGACCCCCCAGGGTACGAAAATAATTTTCTTACCTATATCTACTGACCCAATAATTTCAGACCGAGTCAGGAGAGGGCAACCAAACATACAATCTGATTAAAATCAGATCCTTTGATCCCCTCACATAGATCACTACACACACTAGGTGTAGCGATCTATATGAGCAGGTCAAAGGATCTGATTTTAATCATATTGCCAAATATATTTCTAAAGTTAGCCTAATGAAAGAATTTTTTTCTCTTTGTGAACCGAAGCAAATTATTTTTTTGTAGGAAATCATGAAGTTTCTAGTGAAGGAAGTCCCCCATGATGTAGTGGAGAGTCTAGGAGAGAAAATTCTCAGTAACATTCCTATGAATGAACTGGAAAGGTAAGATAAAAGTTAAAATCAAAGACTGCTTATTTAAGATATTTTTTGTCTGAGTTATAAATAAAGGTGAATGCAACAAAAGATTTCCTTTAAGTATGAGCTAAATACTGCACCTCTGCTTAAATTGGCGTTTTCAAATTCAAGTGCAATCAATGAGTATAGAATTAATGGTGTAATCATGAATAAGCCCTACACATGTCTGTGCAGTGTATTGTATTTGAAAATAATTTCTTAGCAGTATTCTTGAATTACCACATTGATTTTTGTGGCTTCTTGTTTTTATCAAGATTTTACATTAATTTATACTTTTTCTTTCCATCTTTAAAGGGAGCAGCTACAACGAATAATGAAGAGAGCAACAACCACAAAAAAGAAAAGATCAACTCGACAATATTTAGCCAGATATTAATAAAAATTATCATATTTCCTCATTTTTCTGCTTATTGATTTATCACGGGATTGGCGTCTAATTTTGAATCATTGAACCAATATAATCAGTAACATTTACTGGCTTATACATGTAGTTGATACATGTATATTGTTTGAACACACGGATATTCTTGGTATGAAAATGTACATGATATTTAAAATAATTAATTATTCATATGGAAGGCAGGGCCATGCTTAATTGCATTTGAAGGAGGATTTTCCTTGTTAATATGTAAAAGTACAATCTTATTATCATGTTTAAACGATGAGGATAGAGAAACTACATCCATCAAATTAATATGAATGAAAAGTAAGCTGTGTTTTAACATGCAATTAATTACTAGTACCGGGGTATTGTGTAGGAATTCACACTCAGTGTTGATTGGTGCTATATTTGGGAATTCAAGGCATCGCTATAAATTAAAAAGATTATTATTGGTTTACGTACATATGTGTTGACCACAAAATTCCAATAAACCAGTGGCTCATTTTAGCTCTTGAATATTGAAGGACTAATGAGAATAGAGCAGAAAAACAACGTATGAAGATGTGGAGCATTATATCTATGAAGACATCTGTAAGGCCAACTTTAAATAACTGTTCGGTTGTCCTCTCCTGACCGACTGGCTTAAAATAGCTTGACTCAAAACTTTTTTCAAATTCCTGGAATTGTGATTTTTATGCCCCGCCATGAATATGGCCGGGGCATATAGCGTTGTCATGTCATTCTTCCGTCCTTCTGTCTGTCCTTCCGTCACACTAAACTTTGCGTTTAGACTTTTAATAGCTTAGTTCAAAGCTCAATGTCAAAGAAACTATCCAAGATAGTTTCATCAAACTTCAAATGCTGATAGATATTGATGAGAGTTATGCAACTGCATCAACATTTTTTTACCTTGACCTTTCCTTTGACCTCACTTTTCTTAAATTAGTGTGTAGCTCAGGTTCAAACATACCATTCAAGATGATGTTAACAAACTTCACATATTGATACATACTAATCATAGCTATTCAACTGCATCAACATTTTTGACCTTGACCTCACTTATCTTTAATTAGTGTATCGCTCAGTTTTAAAGACACCATTCAAGATATTTTTATCAAACTTTATATTCCGTTGCATATTGATGAAAGCAATTCAACTTCATCAACATTTTTTACCTTGACCTTTTCTTTGACACTGACTCACTTTTCCTAAATCAATGTTAAACTTCATATGCTGATACATACTGATGTAAGTATTTCAAATGCATCAACAATTTTGACCTTGACCTTTTATTTGACCTTGACCTCACTTGTTTAAGTCAGCTTTAATTAAAGACATCATTCTAGATATTTTTGTCAAACTTCATATGTTGATACATATTGAGGAGAGATATGGAACTGCATCAACATTTTTGACCTTGACCTTTGCTTTGACATTTCGACCTCACTTTTCCTAAAGTAGATTCAAACTTTGTAAGCTGATAGATATTGAGGCAAGCATTTCAAATGTATCATCATTTTTTATCTTGACCTTTCATTTGACCTTGATCTCACTTTTATCCATTTGTGTTAAAGTCAGTTGTAAAGAAACCATTTAAAATATTTTTTTAACTTCATATGCTGATACTTACTGATGAGAGCTTTTCAACTGTATCAACAGTTTTTGACCTTGGCACTTCTTTTGACCTTGACCTCACCTTGATAAAATTAATGTCAAGCTTCATATGCTGATACATACTACTGTAGGCAATTCAACTGCAACACTATTCAAGATATTCTGATCAAATTTCATACACTAATACACATTTTTTATGTTGCTTTACTAATATACCTTCGGCAGGGCATTCATGTCCTATGGACATATTTCTAGTTTTTTTTTTTTTTTGTTTCTGAATTTTTCCATTCATCAATATATATGTTGAAGTTTTATGTGAAAAAAGATTGTTTTACCCTGTGTCGGGAGAGGGCAAGCAAATATTATTTAAGAAATAAACAACGTTATTTAGTGAACATGCATGGCGTTATGAATAGCAATTGCTCTGCTGGCATATTCCATGATGCGCGCTAGCGCATCATGGAAAATATGCAAGCAGAGCTATTGCTATTCATAATGCCATGTTCACTAAATAATCGTTGTTTATTACTTATATTTGCATTCTTTGATGTTGTCAAGAATATCAGAGGAAATCCTGGCTTACATATGGATATGGCTTGTTGTCTTCAGTAAAGAAAAACACACGGCTATAAAATTAGTATATCTGATCATTGCACCTTTTCTCTAATAATCACAAACAATTTATTGAGTATTTGCCTCTTAAACACAGTTATCTGGATACAAGCTGCACCGTCGTCACATCCCATCTCCTAATTTTTTTGATTCAGTTAAGACGTCATCAATCAACGTTATTGAAACCCTCTGACAAAAATCAATAATTTAACCTTATGTTGAAAAAAGAGAATGCTTTAATAATGATTATAACTCCAGAATGCTTTTCTATGATTTTTAAAGTTTTTTCTATTTAATTTTAAGAGCTGAAATCGTTCTCGAAATAGACATATACCTACTGCTCTTTCTGAATGTTTCATAACCCAAGTGGGAAGAGTTATCGTTCTTTGTACAAATATGCAAAAATATGATAAGAAAAAATAAAAATATGGAGTTGTCTTCAATTTTTAAAAAGTTTTATATTACAATTAAATACATTGACCAAAATTAAATTTTTAAAGTATCAATCAGCAACTTTAAATTGTTCTGAATTTCT